AAATGTTCTGTTATTTCTTTGTCCACTGTAAAACTCGATAGATTAGTTGCAATCTTGCCTTGAGCAAAGGGTCTTATGGTTTATACAACATTATGTATTTTGCGTGTGTGAAGGTCAGTTAGCGGCGTGGTTAGTAAACTTTTGTATTCTAAATTATAGAGCAGGAAACTCATTTCTGTACTACCCAAGCGATGTTCCGTCGTAATATTGACTTCGAATTGAGCTGAGCACGCCATGTTTAACCTTGTTGCTCTTTACGACCAAAACCTAATGATTTCAAAAATATAGCAATATTCATAATCATATGTACGTTTTTTTTTTGCAATTTCATCAGGAAGTAACGTACATATAATTATAAACATAATATGAAATCTTTTCACATGGTACTAAATGGGACCTATTCTAAAAGAACTTCAATAGAAGCCCATTTAGAGACGATATAATAGGTTGCAATTTCATTAGGAAGTAACATAAATTTCGTTTTGATTTTTAAACTTGTGCTGAGTACCGGAGAACATTATACGTAATAACGAGGCATAACGTCGAGACTGTGGGTGACAATAGCAAAAGCGGTCACGTTTTTTGATACTTAATTTTCATATCTCCCACTATTGCTTCGCTTATCTTTATTGCTCTCACTAAATGTTAATGTTTTACTGAAATAGTCATTAATTCATTTCAATATAGAATTAGGTCACGTAATATTTCTAAACTATTAATACTCTTAATACAGTGCGATTATATTGACAACTATTCCATTAAGGTTTATAAACTTATAGTTATTCTGAAGCTCATAAACATCAATTAAAACTTATTTGTTATTTATTATTAATTTTTTGATGTGAGAAGGTGGCAAGCCAGCTGGCGGTTCACCTGATGTAAAGTGATAACCGCTATTCGCAACACCCGTAGGGTTGCAGATTATTTAGAATATTATTCAGATATTTTAATAAAGTGTACCCCGGCTCACTAACCATAGGATACTCTTATATTAAGAAGTATAACACTTTCCTTCACGCCTGTCTTCTGTGAGGTCGTGGTACTTCCCGAACGGACCTGCCCATTCGTGCAACAAAGAAGACTGTTGCGTGGCCCTACCACCACTTAAGTGCAATCTGGTGAATAAATCGTTAAGATTTAACTATGGGAATTAAATAGCTGAATGCGCTTCAATTCGGCCGTTACATCTTCATGTGTATGTAATTCTGTGTACGGTTTGTGGAACGCCCCCAGCTCGCTCCGATAGTCATCAAGCAAGAAACTCCTCGCGTGTTTTAGTCGTGCATTTCCCTCGCTGCAGTTTCGCTCCAACACAAAGATCCAACACAAAACGACCAAAGGTCTAGTTACGTTAATAAATCTACGCTTTATTCCGTGTCGCCGCCGCTAAAGTACGACCTGAATGGTTTCACTGGAGAGATTATTTTTATTGTTAGATACTGTCCGTTTAGGTCGTTGTTAACGGTAGGTTTCTAAATAGGGTCATCAATGTTGTAGCGAAATTAAATATTGCCGAGAATAATAATTATGATGTCTCCCCTGTGTCTTGCACACACGCTCATTGTGGTAAATAATTATTTTTCTTTAAATCGTTGTTGTAAGACAAGATTTTATTCAATAGTCTGAGCTCCATTCTAACAGACAGCTTACGATGTCTTGTAATGCTTATAACATAAAGTACTGTCTTTAATATGATAAAACATTAAAAAGTTAATCAAGTTGAATGTAGATAAAGTTTTTAACTTCAACGTCCGTGAATGGTTTTAGTTAATAGATTCGGGCGCTTATTTGCGGAAATTGCAATACAGGCCGGGTACGGACGCTAATGAAGAAGGGCGGGCGGCCATCAAGTTAATCGGAACATTCACGCTATGTACCCGTTTTTGCATGAAATAAAACCAGTTTGCAATAAATTGAGCCGTGGAAATTAGAGCGGCTGTTGGTTATCCGAAAGTGAAGAAAATATATAGTACTTTATAAATCTATAATTTTGAAGTCATTACAAAAAATTTGTTTCAAAAGAGACGCAACTTATTGCGGTTTGGTTTTGTCTGTATATATATGCACGAATTATCTCTTTATTATTATTCTTTCCACTTAAAGATTCCGTCTAGATATTTTCTTTTATCTCTACCTACGAGCATACCACTCAAAATTCTATCATATTTATGAAGTACCGTTGAATTTCGGAATTTAAAAGATTATTGATCAAATACACTGAATTAACTTATAGAACTCGGACACTGAGCTCACTCATGTATATAGTCTTTCTATTAATATTTTTTAATTTATAAAAGGAAAATAAATATTTTCTAACCATCCCATGCTAAAGAAAATTTGAAATTGTTTTAACATGAACAGCGAGCTTGCGTAGCTTCGCCGTTAATTACTCAAATTTCGAAATCATGTAAATTTTATGAAAGATTTACGTAACGAGCACACTAAGTCCAACCTTTGCTATCAATTTTTAAGATTGAGTATTTCTTTTTAAACTTAAAAGTCAAAAACATTGTACGCGTATAGCATACATCAATAACAAATTAGGCAAGTAAAATATTTGATACATAATTACCAATAACTATAGCCAAATATTACCATGGTATGTCATAAAAATTTGCTTCATATTTTTATAGGATTTTTCTATATTAGGAACAAATCAGCTCTTCTATATACAACGTTGTTTAATAACACCGTGCAAAACTTACATTTATTCGCATATTCACTGTTATGCTCGCAATAAAAGGTGTTTAAAGGAAATTTGCGTGCTATGCAGTACTTTTATTACGACTCCATGATGCATTTCATGCGGTAATAGCCCATCGAATCACGGAATGATATCCGTACAAGAATGCTAAACACATCTGTATTATTTACGACTTCATGGCCGAAGTTAGGGAAGCAATGTAGAATATTTCTAGTCTGTGGATAACGCGAGCGGCCACTGAATGATTTTTTACTAACGAAAATACATTAATTATACACACTGTAACATAACACGAAGAGTAATTTTTCCTTTAGGCCACCATATAAAGACGTTTGTTTAATATGATGTTAATTACGATTAATGACGGAAATAAGCAATATATACATCTATACATATATATAAAAATATTTTGTGTATTAAACAAAAGACGGCATAAACAAAAAATAATTTGTACATGGATAGATTACGCGTTATTGTTGACCTTGGTTAAAGTGTTACGAGTTTGACCCAAACCCAACACTAACGCCAAGCCACGAAAACCTTGACGTCAGTCATTTGCTTATCGTTGTAACTATTAATAGAAAATTGAAATCGATGGTTTCCATTGGAACATGTCATAAGGAAACTTTTATTTTACGCTTTTCCGAAAATTATACATATCAATCTTTAAATGAGACCACTTTTTGAGCGTTTCTCTTTCAAACTAAATTGTAAGGAATAAAGACTAGAGAATGTTTAATACATTCTTTCTATATAGCAACATGTTTAGAGGAAAAGTGATGAGGGATATTTTTACACAATTACCAGGAATCGCGATTGCTTTTCATACCGCATTGATGGTAATCTGACTCAGAGTGCTTTGCCAGTCATTATTCACGTCGGTGGCTTGTTTATCATCCCACGTATGGAGGAGTCATCGCGGGGAGACGCGAATCTCCTGTCTCTTGACGCATACGATTATTTTAGGACGTCTTGGTTCGATGCAACGGGCGCGTATTGGATCCGCGTTGGAATTTAAGGGCCACCATTACATTTGGAACATCTTGTATTACAATCTCGATTCATCATAATAAATGTCTAAATTAAATATGAACGTACGTCGAAATTGATAATTAATTAGCAAACACATTTATGTAAGCGCTGAATTATTTATGCTAAATACATTTGTGGTTGCGAATCAAATAACAAATTTGAGAGTTTAGCTGCGTTTGAACTTTTTAATATAATCACGTTTATAAATGTTATAAACGTATAGCAATCACCCCATAAAGCTGTACAAATTCGAATAAAACCCAGTAAAGAAGCTGTAGAGATTGAGAGCAATTTGTGCATCTTTTATAGAAGCGCGACAAACTGTAATTAATTGGCGTTGTTAATTAATCTGCCAAGACAGCTGACGGTCCTACCGACCGGGATACGTCAGGCATGCTCAGACGCAACGTACACCCACGCAAAGCTCGGGGTATGAACAAAGACCGACGTCCCCGAGCTCAGTATACGCGGAATCTTGACGCGAGCAACAAGTCTAAGGGGAAGAATAGTTTAGTGTCTTGAGATTATACGGGATATTCTGCAACTCATCCAGGTATAATGGAATATTTATTTACTATTCAGACTGTAGATACTGCGTTATAATAAAACAAATTAAACTTGCTTTTTAAACTACTCTTTCTAGATGGTATTACTCTTTAAAATAATTTTGAAAACGTGCATTGGAGAATGCTTATATTATTATGATATGTTTGAGTTATAAGGCATATTAAAGAAACAAAATCCAACCATCCATATTTACGAGCAACAAGAAATTCCAGTACATTTTAGAATATTCCTATAATTTTTTATTTGTATTTCGTTGTCATAGCACTCAACTTCATACATCTGTCAATATTCTTGACTTTCCTAGTCACGTATAACAATAGATCTCGAATTCTGAAGCTAGATTTACAAAAATGCGACCGCCTCGTGTTTGTCGAACTTACCCAGAAATTCTTCAGGGACGTAAATTTAAATTCAGTCCCAGCTTTCTGTTTCTGGCATAACGCCAACCGCGGCTTTCGTTCCCATCAAACTAAAACTTCTCGTTTCACTTTCGTAATGTGTTGAACAATTCGAACCAATATTGATTTATTAATTATTTTGATACTTTTCAAGCAAGTTTCCACATGTACCTTAATTTATATTCTATTTAAATCTATCAGCAATAATTTATCCCATATAGTACATAATTTCAGAAAAAAATTATATTATGCATAACAAAAATAAATATTTTTTATAGATAAATCAAAAATAAAGCAAGATGTCTGAGCAAAAGAACTTAGAAGCTGGCCAACAACTGGTTAAGAAGACGATGGACGAGCTGATCCAACAAAAGCAAACATCAGAAAAAGTCACCATACAAGCAAGACAAGAGTTTCGCGAACACTACGAAGAGAGCTACGAAGAAGAGTTCGAGGAGGAGACCTTTATTGACCAATTTGGAAATGAAACTACAAAGAGAGTGGAATCGAGCAGCGAGAGTAAAGAACACTCTAAGAGCGCTGACGTACAAGTTAAGGCTACCGGACTCAATGCAGAACAAGTTAAAGCCCTCACAGATTGCGCCAACGAAGCGGGTCAACTTGCCCTAACTTCAAAGCCCGCCAACTGAGCCATGTAATTAAAATCATTATGTAAAATTTACCATGTAACATTTTAAGCAACATCGCATTAAGCTAACGCTTCCAAGAAAATTAAAACGAAACAACCATTTGTTTAACCATTTGAACGGAATTGTTTGCGTTCGTTGTTCGAGTGTTGTAAAATCCTTTACTTTAATCTTCCTTGACTCTCCCTAATTTGTCAGTAGAGCATAACGACAAAATTTATTAATCGTACCAATTTGTTTCAGGTGTCATTTCGTTGTGCAAGTGGTGGTATCAAAGTGTGATAAAGACTGTGCCGTGTTCCTTACTATATATATTTGTAAATTTAAGTAAACGTTTATATAAATGCAATAAATGTATTAATAATAAAATGGTGTATTAGTGTTCTGGGGCTTTAGTTGATTTTACGGGTGATTTAGAAAAAAACAAAATGGAGGAAGAAGAGGACGAGAGGAAAGTCAGGAGGCCTAAATTGGGTGCCTTTAGCTCTTTAAACGCCCGCATCGTTCATTCTTCTTTAGAAGAAGGTTTCCTGCGCCAGCAAGCGTCGTCCGAATCGGCCGACGCGAACATTTCGGGTGTGTCGACCGCACAGCTCAGCGATAGGAGTTTTGTCTCCAAAACTAGCACCTTTTCGCGGAGCGGCACATCGAGTTCTAGCCAGGAGGAATGTGAGGTCGCCCAAACTACCATCACGAGCGCCCAGTACCTGGCGGCCTCGAGGGTGGAGACGGCGCGTTCGATGGAAAGTCTGCGCCCCAGCAAGGACACGTCGCCGGCGCGCCCAGCTAGTTCCTGCACCACCGTTCGAGTCCACCGCAGCTCGTTCTTAACGGCTAGCGAGCGAGATGTGCGCGAGTCGAGGGGTCTGCCCGCTAGGCGCGCCTTATCCGGCGAGGACATGGGCAACTCCGCCGAAAAGAAACGGGGCTTGTTCGCAAGCACCGAACGGCGAGCTTTGCAGCAGTTAAGCCTACCCCCGCCGGAGCGCCGGCTGACCATCCTCAGCCCTCACAGCCCCATGGCGAACACGGAACTACAATGGCCTACACCACCTGGTATACGCGGCAGACGAAAGAAAGGAATGGTTCTGCCCAAACTGATTCTGCCCCGCAGCGACTCTGACGGATCCGAAGTATTTTTCGAAAGGTGCTTACATCTGTTATTTTAGTATTGTTTTAATCAGCGTATTTTAAGCATCTTCTTGTTACAAAAGTATAGAAAATTATCAGGTTTAAATTGTTATATCTTAATGCTTTTTAAAATATAAACAGAAAAAAAAAGAACAGCTTCAGCTGTTTCATAATCAAAACAATTTCATATACATAACTGATATTTAATACTGATACTACTGAGTACATTGTCACCCTGAAAACGTAGATAAGCCAGAAATTTGCGACATTTTGTATCTTATTTAGAATTCACAATGTAAAGTTAGTAGATGAATTAACAGATTAAATTCTTCCTAATACCTTTTGTACAGCATCTTTTGGACTCTTCGAGGGTTGTTTATCTTAAAAATATTCATTCTCTTCGGCACGTTAAACTGTTCTAATAAAACAGTTGATTAATAGTAAAATATTAAAAATTTATCATTATCCCGGTATTAATTTTATTAATACATACATAGTATATTTTAATATAAACACAGCTCAGAAATTTCGCTACCTACATGAGCTCTAAACCAAAATTCCAAGACAAACATGTTTCGGGCTCGATTGTACGTCAGTAATAAAACGTTTGTTTACTCTGTATGAGTAAAACGTTGTATTTGCGCTGTATTCTGCTCTTTAATTGCGATTTCTATTCTTTTCAATTTAAACGACGGACGAAAAAACATCAAAAATAGATTACAGATCACAAAATTCTTTCGGTGTATTTCTAAATATGTGTTCTAAACATCTGCTGCCGTAAATTGTCTCAAATATAGTTTAAACAAAAATGAAACTCAAAAGAAATTTATACTATTATACCGTTGTGACAAGAACAATAGAAAATTTAATATGATCATTTTCACATACATACGTACGAAATGAGCCGTGCATATGTGCAGAGTTGGACAAAATCCAAACAAGTTTTGCTTTATCGGTCTCGCGCTGGCTAGAAGAATAAACACGCGACGTGAATCACTGATGGTCTATTTTTAATTACGAAAGCTGAACAGGTAAACATAAATATAGCTCGATGCTCGTCGTTGGACTTCCCGCGGTACTTTTAATCTAATTTCATGACAAATTAAATGAAACGCTTAAACCGAATATCTTGAAACAAATTACACACCAAAATTAAACAGTTTTAAAGCAGTAAGGGTTTTTCTTTATTATTTACTCCGCACCTTGTTTCATTTATCATTGTTTCTTTGCAAATATATTTTTTATAAAATTGATAAGGCGCTCTAGAATTGTTACCGTTATAGTTTAATTGGCAACAATTACTAATTAAATAATAATAAAAAGTTTAAAAATTATGGTCTAACGTATATTTTAGCCCAACAATTCAAAAAGTTTTTAATGTTATTCAATATTTTTAATTCGTATTTTTCTGCAATATTCTACATCTTGAAGAAATTTAGCGTATAAAAACCGTATTGCAGGTATATGAGAGATCTAGGTAGTCGGAATTTGTTTCCACTTTTGATAGCAAACAAACATGTAATATGAATGCGTATTACATATATTGCAATGTTTTATTGTCTATAGCATTACTTTCAATGCATTCGCTAGAATTGTTGTATTTTTGGGCCCTTTTTTCTCTTCATCAAACTTTACTCACCACCTTACGTTTCACACACCTGTTTTTTATATAGTATATAAAAATGAACAAAGGAATTATATAATATTATTATTTTATTCAAATATCTCAAATATTTTTGTAGGTTATTTCAATGCTTACTATATACTTTTCAAACTTGTACTAATTACCCAAGCTTCACGTAGGCTTCGCAGACCAGCACACGTTTTTTAATATATCTTTATTTAGAGTTCTTACTCAACTCAACAATAATTTTTATGTTACCTAAGAGATGAATGAAAACAGTAAGCAGTTTCACTTATAGATAAGCTATCATAACGCGATGATCGATATTTTACAACACTGATAATGAAATATCATTATTTCGGTTTACACATGGCCACCTTATCAATATCGAGCACACACTTATCAATTTTGTTGATAGTGTGATTAAACGACTATCTGATATGCTTGCCAAAAATTAAATATGTTCAACAAATAATGTACACATGTCTAAGATATGTCTAGTTTGCTAAGTAGCCTATTTTCCCTATTATTGAATTAGTTCAACCCATTCTCCGGGGTCATTCATTTGACCCAGCAGTTTAAAAATAAAAATAGATTTTCAAAAAATAAATATTTTACGGATTTTATCTTGTTTTGATTTTATTCTTACATTCCCGACTCTTGAAATACTCTATAGCGACTTTCTCTTCTTTTTCTTTCTTTCTTTCAGTGTTAAAATTAATGACTTTGACATAATTTAACTTTATTTTGTGCACATCAGAGCCTCCTGTGATCAGGATTTAATAATATCTATCTAAATAAGAATATCTATTAAGTTTACAAAATTTTACGATAAAATAAAATGCGATTAAATGCTTTTGAGTAATTAAAAGAAAAATGAAATTAAAATATTGTAACGTTTTTTTCTCACGATTACATAACATGTTACCCATATTTCTAAAAACTCAACATCAAGAGAAGCACAATTGTAGCAAGCATTTTAATTCCGTTTTATCAACACAGAGCCCCTGCAAAAGCTTTTCATAGAAACACGTTCCAATATATTATTTTCAAGAATAAATAAATGGATTCACACTCTATAAATCTATTTGCACTTCAATTCAATACAGCATTGGCTATTTCTGGTCTTTTTGCTTTATGTTTCTTTTAAAGCATCGTCTTTATTTCATCCGCTTATTGCTTTTGAATTGATATTATTTATATAGAATATTTGTTTTAAAATATAGCAAATAATATTCAAGTAATATTATTTATCAACATATTTCTTGTTTTCATATTTCAACATTTATCAGAAACACTTTGAAGTACTTTTCGCATCATTTATAACTTTAATATTTAATTTTTTTTAATTAAAGGACCTTAGATTTAATCGTGTTTAATTTGTTTTAAATGCCAGACAAAGTTGTAAACCAAAGTTGTTTAGATAAAGATAAAGACAAAGTTGTTTAGATCACAAGATGTGAACTAAAATAAGTAAGTAAAATAAAATAAACACATTAAATCATTTAAAAATAGAACTTGAGACGTTAATTTACTTCTAATTAAATAATATATTTTAAAAGTAATTTCCGTACCTCTACTGACTAATTGAATAATTACATATTTAAAATTACAATGTATGTGAGTATTAACGTGACAATACGACACATCAATTTCTGAAATTGTGACACTGATAGCCAGTAGTGCTGTATTTCCACTGTTCACTGCCTAAACACCTGTGCACACATTTCGTGTTCGTCGAGCCATTGATCATGAATTACAGTTGAGTGTTGCGACACTGCGTACGGCATTGGTGATACCTTTAGAAAAAAAAATAAGCGAGTACATATGGAAATAATTGTCGGCAAAAAAATGACAATACAATGTATTGGCACAAATTTTATTCAGTTTTAAAATGATATAAAGAACTTTCTTTATTTAAAATTTGTATTAAAATAGACTACCTTATTCTTCCTTTCGTTACTTTACTCGTGGTTCTCAGTGTTATGAAACCTTTAATTGAAACCTTTAGTGCACTCTTGAAATGTTACGTATTACTTATAACTTTAAACTCATGTATTAATCAGCTATTATAAGTAGCTAAGAACATTTTATATCTACAAAATTACAATCTAGTGAAATCAATTTCGGGCATTTTAACCTTCTCCCGGTTTAAGGTTTTAAATAACATTTAATAGTAAATTTGTATAACACTATCTATATTTACGTTTAATTAGCCATTTAATATCGGATTTGATTATACAGCAGTGTAACTAAATCCCTAGTTAATCCGTTATTACAATCAGATTTATAACAAATACTTACCTAAAAATTCTTTATCTATCATGTCTGAGTGTTTTACATTAAAGTTGTAGTGCGATAAAGTTTCAATAAATAAAGTTCCTCATTCTATTTTAATTTAAGATAATTATAATGTGATAAAAATTAAGATATTAAGATGTTTATTGAATTTTAAATAAATAGTTTTTTTCTAATACGGCTCATGTTTCTGATAGCTCTATATACATAGTGTGAAAAGTTTGACATTCATTTAAACATGATTGACATAAAAAATATTTGATAGATTAAAGATAAAAAAAAATATAAATAATTTTAATTAAAAGCTTATACAAAGCTTATGTCCAATATACCTTTTTACAATTTAAATTATATTATCATGTTCATGAAACGTATATCATGGATGTTAAGAGGGGAATTCAACATATGTTTTTCCTAATATTTTTTTATCGATGATATTCCATTGGTTTGTTGGTTGGTTTCATTGTTGGTTGCATCACAAGGGATAAATAACAGAACTAATCATGTAAAATATCTATATAGCGCATATATAAGAACGGCGACAAGATAGTTAAGTAGATCAAAGCAATTTAAGTTATTTTCGACAGTTATATAAATACTGAGATGTTTCATAGTATAGTTTTCAAGCTATATACAGGGTGGCTTTTCTAAGTGTATCCATTTTTTTATTAAACTCTAAACATTAATAATGTTATATAAAAATGATAAATATTTAAAATCACTCGTAAGTAATTAATTACATTCATTTGAACTTATCTCAAAAAGTGCGTAATTTATATGCAACTCATTTATTTTACGCGCGATCATTCATACCTAACACGCACACAAGTTCGTGCACAGTAAAATTTAGGTATTTATCAATGACTACCGCATTGACATTTTTTGGGAAAAAACTTTGTTTTTTATTTCAATAAACGATAATACTATCGAGCCTGAACCTCCTGTGTTAATTTGGGCACTTCTCAAAAAATCTACTCGACTAGTTTCTGCGTAGAATAGGCTGAAGGTGTAACATTCAGACATAAAGACAGATATACATAAAAATATGTAATAAATTATAGCCTATATCTTATTCTATTGTATAAGCTATATAATTGTAAAGTTTCATTAAAATCTTTTCAGTAGTATTTGCGTGAAAGAGTAACAAACATCCATCCATCCATACAAACGCCTTTATAATATTAGTAAGGATATTTTATATATTGGCCGATTTTACTAGAATAAATTACAAACAAATTTTGTCCTTATTATATTATCTTCAAAGTAAGTTTTAAAAAAATTTCAATCATAGTCATCAAAAGTCTATTAATAATGTTTGATTTTTAATATTGCGATACTATTTTATTATACGTATGATTAAATATCAAAACAATAGACCCGCGCTTATTCAGAGCTTATTTCACCATCGGTGTTTCTTCCCACGCATATCACGAATGATGTTTGAGATAGACAAGCTTGTTATTTCGTAATATTTTTGTATACTAGTTGCACTTCTTTTGAATTTATATGGTTATCGTTTTCCAGACGTAAGTCAGATTTAAGAATTAAGTTAATTAATCTTTCAGGCACTAAGCTTCGCGCTTTAAAAGTAATTGAAAACGTGTAATTTGGAAAAATTCCAATGGGTGTTAAGTGTTCATAACATTTTAAATTTTGTTAACATTTATCTCAATGATAAGGAATTCTAATTCTTCTAAGAATTATAGGGATTCTAGGAATTCTAATTCTTGATACTAGCGGTTAGACTTTGTTGTGATTCTAATATTCGAATAATCTAAGAAGAAATTGACTATTACTAGACTTATTTTATCCTACCTAATGGCAAGTAATAGTGATAATTAGTTAATCCTAGAAGATAATTACGTTAGATTCGGATGGGAAGTCAGGGAGGATAACGCTGTGTACCGAACGCATACATATGACCATTGCTATGTTCCTACCGAAGTAATAACATGAAAAGCAATTATATCTAACATATACCCGAGAAATGAGCATTGGTTATTAGAATTACGATAATATTTTTAAACTTATTTTTACTCCCATTTCAAACATGATTTAACAAAGAAGGCACATGGATGGATTGAATCACTGTATCACTTATGATTTACGTTTCAAAAGACCTTTGTTTACGTTGAACACTACAGTTCACAAGTCCTTCTGTCAGTCAAAGGTTTGTGAATATTTAAGTCGGACCGTGCCAGTTTTGCGTCTATGAAAACATTGCGGCGCCCGCAGCTAACATTGTCAAGTTAAGTGGGGTCAAACATAACTGACATACTTACTGCATACGTTGATTCGAAATGAAATGCTGTAGGGGGATAGCAGTAGGGGGATGCTTAAACTAAAGCCATAAAGACTTAGCTTACCGGCGTAGTCATTGCACATCGAACGAAGCTATCTATTTTTTTTTTGATGAAAAAAGTTGACAAGCGAGCAGGCGGTTAAGTGACTACCACCTGATTGGTTTTAGATCTATTGCCAACCTATTTAAAAGTGTCCCCCTGCTACCTCACTCACCATACGATACGATAATACTTTCATGTCTCGCCGGCCTTTTGTGAGGCCGCGGTATTTCCCCGGACGGGTAACAGCCGACGCTACTGCGGGGTCTACGACAGCGAAATATTCAGATCTAAATTCACGTAACATCTATACTTCAGTGTCCATACCACACCGATAAATTATATATTATTAATCTGTATTAATTTGTGATACCAAAACACAGTACTTCTTAATCATCGGAAAAAATTTGGATGTTCACAAAAGCTTAAACAATTATATTTTCCTTTTTTATTAGAAAATAATTTACACCAATTGTTCGTACTATGGGCTTCCGTCATACATGTGTCCGAGTAATACATTAACATACTAAGCTAGTGGTAGTACATTAATGGAAATAGGTCAGACAGAATTAGCTCATAGAAAAAATACAATATAACAACTTTAGCTAAAATTCAACCAAAATTGTTCTGGCGCAACTTAGACTTAACTTCTCGCGATTTTTTTCGTCGCAGACATCAAAAATCTGTTAAAGTTGAAATAGGTCAGATGCCGTCAAAAGCTGTGAAAGAACTTCTTAATTCGATTATAAATTACATTTACATTCTCCAATCCAGAATCCAATTAGATGTAAAAAAAATCATTGACTTTTCTGAGGTTAATTTTTTAACAAATTTACTCCTTCCCCTACCCATCCATAACTTTACACCCGAAAAAATACATTTTTGCTTGAAAAACAAAATTATTTACAAATATAATTTTATGAAGTGGAAGTGAAATTTATCAAAAATTCCTAATTCATAAAGTAATGCTTTCAAATTTTGACTGTAAATAAACTAAAAGGAGTAATTTATGATGACTCCGTGGCGCAGTTACCAAGGAATTGGCTTCGGCGTCGGGGGTCGTGGGCTCGATTCACACACGAGACAACTATTTTTGCGACCCACAGATAGCTGTTTCGGATCTAGGTGTTTGACTACGTGACATTTATGGTTGTAAAACGTCCTTACAGCACAGGATAATGTTATCTTAAAATAAAGGTAATGTTTAAAAAAAAAAACAATAAATCATAATACATGTTTTATTTTCAGGTAAGTTCCAGGCGAGGAATTTGAGAAGTTTTTCACCAAACGGTACAGTACAACACAGACATTGTTAAAGCAATCATTGAGATCATTCATCAAATTAATTAATCAAATTTTAACTCAAGCGTAGCATGAAGTTATACAATCCTTTCATAACTGTTTGAAATTGTTAAATAAATGAATCCTTAAATTGCTTTTATTCAACAATGAGCCGTATTCACATAAACACACAAACTTTGGAATTTTGTTTTATTTGAAGTGAAAGTAAAGTAGACGAAAAGCTACGTCCTTTAATATATTATTATAGATATAGACGCCCGGTAATCGATTTAGCAATACTAGTTTACTATTGCTACTGTTTAGCTAATGACTAGTGTTTTTTTAATGTGAGAAGTTGCCAAACGAGCAGACTGTTCACCTGATGTTAAGTGAATACCGCCGCCCATAGACATCTGCTACACCCGAGGGTTTTCAGATGCGTTGACAACCTTTTTGGAAATTTGGCTCCGGCGAAATGCGAAAGTATTTGCCATACTTCCACTTTACACCGGTCTTCTGTGAGGTCGTGGTACTTACCCGGACGAGGCTGCCCATTTGTGCAACAGCCGAGGCTGCTGCGTGACTCTACAACCGTTAGTGTGTTTAACATTGAAATTAAACACGTATTAAATGTAAATTAACTCGTTATACTTCTCCTTCGTATAGATTTTAACTACGCCAAATTTTACGTACCTTCTTACCCACATATTCTTTTAAAGTTAGTTTTACTATGATTCTCTTCTTCATGTATACTTGTGCATTGACGGGCAAAGATTGCCTCTTTAGTCTAAAGGACTTTAAGAAAGTATATTCTATCAGAACGCCACAGTACTGATTTTCGATTACTACAAGTGTTTTCAATAATTTTTTTAATATTATATCATGTGTATGATGATCATTTCCTCATGTTTTCTTCGCATTTCTTTTAATTTCTTCGATTCTTGAAATCATCACTATAAAAAATTATTTTACCAGAAGATATACTTTTAAGATATATTTTCTTAATTCAAAAATATGGCAGTTGAGGAAGCGGATAACTTGATAGAGTTGAAGACTATCTGAACTATTCTTGTTGCTCTAACATAAAACGACCCGATTGGCGAAGTGAATAGTGGCTACCAGATGTTGTAGGTTCGATTCCCACTACTGGAAAAATACTGTGTGATGAACATAATGTTTTCCTAGTGTCTGAGTAATATATATTGTTATAAAGTTAAAGAGTGAAGAAACCCTAATAGTTTAGCCTCTTGGTTTTAATAAAAAGATAATATACTTGCAAAAACTGGATGAAAAAATTAGAAAACAAAGAAGCTGAAGAGACACAAATCTACAAGACCTCATTATTTTTAAGATGAGAGGCGAGGGATTACCCGCCATGTTGATCGATGATAAAGAGACTTGAGCGTTCTTAAATTGTGGCCGTTATGGTTGAAGAAATATCAGCTCGTTATTATTTGACAAAAATTCCAACTGTAATTACTATCTGTATCTTGAGGTAGCTTTTGTCGTATTTGTGCTTATTTCATTACTCCAGTGTTCTTTTATCTGCAACGTTTATTATATGCCAGAGAAGACCAAAACTTAGGGTTCGGTAATTACACAGTAAAACTATATTTTTCGTCGTCGTGAAGTTTCAAAATGGAACCTTATAGCAACTTTTTCGTATTGTAAAATTTTGGAATAGCTCTAAAGTTGAATAGTCCCACTTATCTAGACAGAGAGGTACGAACGTCACATTATACCATACCATCCGGCAACATCAAAAGCGAGAGCGCTAAATCTATAAGCTCTTATACTGCGATTGAACATGTGGAAGTAATTGCCGTATCCGCTAGCTTTATTAAGAAACCTCTGGTACAGTCTCGTTTTCGTCTTTAAATATCCCTTTGAATGCGAGAACTTTTTTCAGACAAAAACACACTCAACTATAAGTAGATATACGCAAAGAATATATGACTCGGCATGTTCAATAACGAATCTTTGTTCAGTTTATGTAGCTTCGTGAATTTAGGTACCTTACGCGTTAATTATAATACCTTTAAATATATAATATAAGATAAGACTTAGTATATATTTTTTTTTTAGTATTGGCCATAAACTTTTAAGCTATAGTACCACTTTCAAATATTACAAGACCAACTTAAAAACACGACACCGTTGGAAATAAATCTAATTATGTTTGAAAATTCATATTTATATATATATATATATATATATATATATATATATATATATATATATATATATATATATATATAATATTAGCCATATAATAAAATAATAATAATATATATATATATATATATATATATATATATATATATATATATATATATATATATATATATATGGCTAATATTCCGAATAGTACGTCTCGTTTTTCAAGCTAGAAAAAAAATGTAATCTATAGAGAAATGTTAATAATTAAATGTTATATAAGTTATAATCAATGAAAACCACTAGATTATGAGGAAAAAATTAACAAAGTTTTTAAATTTCATACAACTGAAATCCGTTATTACTGTGCGTCCATTATTCATTATAGACTATTATTTTAAGTTAAAAACTTACGTTTTCACTTTTTACGTTTTAAGGTGACACAAATACACAGATATATCACAAAAACACAAGTTTCTACTTCATGAACATGTATTATTAACAATTTAATTTAAAATTTGTGACTTAGTGTACACTTAATGTCTTGAATATTAGGTTCAAAATGAGTCACAGATCCGAAACAGAGCGATCGGACTCGGATGGGTTAGGTTAGAAGGTTAAGGCGGGAGCTTCGCTCCCGCCTTAGCCTTCGTTGTTAGGTTCTTTTTTTATGACCACCCAGAAAACTTTAGTGTAACAGTACAAAAACAAGAAACTTGAAAAAGAACAACAAACTCAAAATGGCGGATGAAAATAACAAGTTTTAAATATTTTTTTTTATTAAAAGTAAGTGTTTGCCTTGTTTTTCATGTATGTAATATTTAATTATTAACGTTTCTCTAACGATTAAAATTCTTTTCTAGCTTGAATAACGAGACGTACTGTTCGGAATTTTTACCATATATATATATATATATAGTATTCCCTATTCTTTTATTTCTATTCTTATATTTAAAAATGTAAACGTTAGTTGGTAAACAAGTATAATCCACATAACTTAGCTATTATTACAACGTTTCCATGATGCCTTTTGCATGTTGTGCCAAACAGTACGTCACTTACGTACGTTGCTCAAAATGCACTTTATTACGTTCTCGCAAAAAAATATTATAAGGCTATTATTCTGAAAACGTATACTTTCCTTGAACCGCAACCGAGGTTGTTACAACTTCATACATCTAGCTGAACGGAACTTGAAGTCGTTTTCCAATAAATTCTATATTTTCATAAATGTCATCGCTTTAATTTTTTTCATTTACGCCGTCATTACATTATTAAATAAAACTTTTTTCTACATTTCTTCTACCATGATTTTTGAAGTAAATATAAATAATTCATTTTTATTAGAACATAATTTTATTTTTTTTAACTGCTTATTTTTATTAAAGAACGAAACCTCTACAGATTGAAAGGGAAGCTCTAGAAATATCGACCTTTTACATTCGTGACCAATCGCTTGCATCATCTACAGTAATTGCGTTACCCTTGGTACTCATTATTGTAAGAACTCTTATTCAATATCAATGAATAAACTTTAACAGTATTTGAAATATTATTCATTATTTAACAGTAGAAAATACCGTAGACCTATTTCTAAATAATTATGAGATAGTACAGACGAAGATAGTAGTGAAAAAAAAATTGTTTCTAAAATATTTGGTAAGTCTATAAAAATCACTTGCGCCTTCCTTAGAAGTTACTAGTACGCTTGAAGGGCCGCCGTATTTAATAATTCGCGGGTAATGAGCTAGTTAATTCTGCAGTTTATTTTTGCTTAATTCTCTTTGAGGAAATTTTCTTCCTTTGAAAATGAAGCTAAAGCTTCCGAAGCCGTTAATTTGAACTATATTTTATTATAGAAACGTAATCACACACGTTAACGTAAAGGTACATACAGACTTAAACAAAGGTTTTCTTACCTAGCTGGAGCGCCTCTACAATAGCTCTAAAATACTGCTTTTGTTTCTCTTTATCGATTCTAAACGATCCAGCTTCTCTGTTATAACTGTCTATATTAAGAAGGAATTTCTATACCGTTCCTGAGATATTGAAAAGGGTCACCGATCTATATCTAATCGAAAGATTAAAATTCCTCAACATGTCTGAGGCTTCTACAGTATTTCTTTCATCGTACATGCTACAATATTTTGGAATTTATTCCATGAACACACACGTAGAGCGCCTTCCAGGTCCTCATTAAAAAGTCTTGTACGGAACTGTTACTTAAAGAAACATGAAATAGTGAATGTTGCCTATATATATCAGTAATGTAATTTTTTATGTAGTATTGTATGTGTATTGTATGTATTATTATACATATGCATTATTATTTATATGAGGTATACGTTACATATTATCATATTTATGTGTTAATGTGAATGTTTTAAAAAGGTATAATTGTTAAATATTTATACGTATATGGTTACTTATTGTTTTTAACTCGAATTTTAATATTTTAATTTACCTACTACATTTATTCTTCACATTCCGGTATGATTAGTAGAAAATGCCATTAAGTCTTTGTAACCTCTACTTAATGTGTCACAATAATGGATAAACCTACGTAAAGTTATTTAATGTCAGTCGTAAATAACTATAAACCTTTACAAATGAAATCTAAACAGTGTCATAGAATTCAGTAATAAATAGCAATTCAGCGCCATCTGTTGCAGAGAATTAAGACTAAGAAAATGTAGAGTTTTGATTGAAGTAAAGCTGCATCCATTTGATGCGCATCTTGATAGTTTACACGTTTATCAGCAGATGGCGCTGTTCAATAATAGATTGATGATGATGTATTTATTTTGAACC